GGCGCCGTGCGGGGGCGGGGCCTCGGGGAGGGGGCGGGGCCGGCTCGGGGTCACCCCCACCCCTGAAGACCCGCAGGATGGTGCTGGGTGGGGTTACCCGGAGACCCCGAAGGAGAATAGCTCTCCCCGCCTCTCTGCTCACATGGTGCGAGCCGTGGGGGAAGCGCTGAGTTCGAGACCCCTGACCCTGGAAGAGCGACGTGCGGCCTGGGGGAGGGGCTGCGGGCCCACCGGAAAAAGGCGTTGACCCTTAAGTGGACTTTACTTTGGAGACCACAGACGCAGGTTTTGCATTCCCTAGGCGCTCTAGTCCGTAGGGCCCGGGTCCTGCTGGGGGTGAGGACTTCCCTGCTGCTCAGGGAGACCAGAGAGCAGCAGCAGCAGCAGCAGCAGTCCCCAGAACTACCACCTGACCCTCACCCTGCGTCCGGCACTGTCCTCTCTATGCTGTGGGTACATCTCACCAGCACATACCCACCTGTAGGATTTTTGCCTGGATTTTCTTGCACCTGTTCTAAGACCTAAGTGAGGAAACAGGTGGTGAGATCCCCTCCCTGTTTCTGCGATTATGCCTTCTCCCCTCCCAGCCCCGGTCTGTGAATCCCAATCTTTGTGCCCTCCCGCCAGTGGTCAGTAGGGGCTCCAGACTCACCAAGGAGCTTCTGTTAGGAGATCAGGAGAGGCTGAGGTCAGACTCTCAGGGCCTAATCTCCAAATCCTGGCTTGGAGGACTTTGGGACTAATCACCCCCTCCCTGCATCAGAGTCTTGGTCACTGGCCTCTATCCACAGGCGGAGGCTCCCACCTCTCTTCTCTCTCAATGCTCCTTTTAGGAATATCTGCCCAAACCCAGATATTCCTCCTTTCCAACATTCCTGCCCCCCAACCATCCCAAGAAAGGGAAGAATGGAAACACTTATTCATTCAGGATGATAGGATGATGGGCAAGATACTGTAAGTTTTCTAGTATACTGCATTGTAAAGCTGACTAAAAATAAAAATGGGCACCTCCTGTCTTTCTGTGTACAAAAAACCTTTCCTGATTAGCCTTCTTCCCAGGACTGGCACATTTGATGGAGGCCCTGTGACTGGGCAGGCACAGCCAGATGACTGCAGGAATGAGAGACCCGAAAGGCTAGTTCCTGTCACATTAGGCTTCCAAAGATGTTTGGAGCCACAGACCTCCTGGACTGGCCTGCGCTGCCCCAAAGGAGCTGGATCAGCGTAACAGATGCTGAATGCTGATCCCCCTTCCCCTTCCACTATGGGGACAGGAAGGAACGCTGGGTTACCTAATCCAAGCAGCCTTCCAGCAATTATTTCATGAGAAAGTCAAGTGCCAAAAGGCGTGCATGTTGCATGTGTGTGTGCGTGTGTGTGTGTGTTCCAAGTAGCTGTCTGGACAGGGTGAGCCAAACCACTCCCTGCATTCTTTCTCTGGGTAGAATCTTTGATAGAGACCGTGAGAGACACTGCTGCTGCAGCTTCCACCCCAGATAACATTTATAGCCCCTACAGGTCTGGGTATGGGAACCTGGAGTTGAGAGGCCAGAAAATCCCAGTCCCTTCCTTTGCAGGACCCAAAAAAGGACCATGTGGGGATGTCTTAGGAGGAACTGGACAGCTTGACCCCTGGCCCTACAGCTGATGTGCACCTAGACATGTGCCTGGACCAGCAGCATAGGTTGGGGGTAGGGGTGGCAGGGGTCCAGACTTCTCTCCCATCCTCCAGAGAAAAGAAGGCCGGCCAGGTCTCTGGGATGGGAACCCTGATAATGAAAAAGAGGTGAGAGACTATAGCTTCTGGCTGCCCAGGATCCATCCACAGTCTCCCATCTGATGTAGGTTACCTAGATTCTCCTGATCTACCGTGAGAATATCTAGGAGAGGCTGCTTGGGGGTAAGGCAGGGCTCCATCTGTGGGTTCTAGGAAGGCAGACAGTATAAGAAGCAAATCATCCCCTCGGCTCCTCTCAGCAGTCAGTCCACTGAGTCGATAGCTGAAGATGAACCTAGGAGATAAGGAGAGATGAACCAGAAACATGAGGAAGAGGGACAAAGGGGCAGAGGGGCAGGGATGGAAGGAGAGAGGGGGAAGGGGGATTCGGGGATGAGGGTGGGGCTTGAAGACCAGTGCCACCCAAGAGCTGGCTCCATGCCAAGTGGGAGGAGGCTGCTCCAGGCCTCTTCCTCCCACCCTCCTCCAGCTCAGCTCCTGCCCAGTACCAGGCTGTGAGGGAGGTGAGGACTGATGAACCTGGCTGAACTCCCTCCACATTCACCAGCCCTGATGTCAGTGAGCCAGGGAGACTGACCTCCTACGGAGTCTTGGGGCTCTGGTGCCAACCCTCCCAGCTCCCCCTCACCTGGCTCTGACCCCTTCGCTGCCTGATGGTCCTTGATCTGCTCTGCTTCTAGACTGGAAGCAGGAAGTGAGACAAGTCTTCCTGAGTCCCCCTGCCCGTCCCCTCAAGAGATCAAATCCTTGCCAGACCAAAACCATGAAGTCAAGGAAGCTAGTGTCATGGGCCTGAGAAGGGGAAATTGAGGCCCTGAGAGGGACAGGGACTGGCCCTAGGCCACACAGCAAGGCATAAAAAACCAGACTGGAATACTGGGCCCTGGCCCCATATTCGAGACACTTCCTGTGTGCTGGTCCCAAGGTACCTCCCAGGGCAACAGTTAAATTCGGCCAAGTCCAGGCAGCACCTCCCTGCTCCCAGGTTAGTTGGAGGCTCTACTCCCCAGGAATTGCCCCTCAGAGGTCTCCAGTACCCCTGCCCCATGGCGCTCTGGAAGTAGCCCCTGAGAACTGCTCCCTCCTCCTCTCTCCAGACTCCCTTCTCACCTTCTTGCTTTTTTGTCCCCAGGACTTCCTGAGTGACTCTTCTTTTGTTCCTTTCTTAACAGGGTGGTCCCCAGGGCTCTGAGCTAGGCCTTTCCCCTTTTCACCCACAGGCGGAGCAGGGTAAGGAAAAGATATAAGAAGTGTCATGGTTCAGTCCTCTGCAGTCCTCTGTCCACCTGCCTGGTACCGCCCTCCACCCTCTGCACCAGGTCCGTGTGCATGGGTGCAGTACGCACACACTTGCATGCACATGTCAGACCCAATCCTTTGAGAGCAGAGGCTGTCTGTCTCCACTGTTCATCTATCCTGACACCTGGAGCAACTGGCTTTAGAAAGTAGGTGATTGAATGCCTGGGAAAAGGGGACCATTGGAGAGCCAGCGGAACCAAGAGGACTGCTAGATGGATGGACAATGGGGAGAGAAAAAGGAGAGAGGAAAGTATAGCTCCCAAATACTGGCTTAGGTATCTGGGGGCTATGAGAGTACCAGTCACTAAGACGAGTCACAGAGAGGGTACATTGGAGGGTATGGGAGCCATGGGGGCCTCATAGTTGCTACACAGAGCCTGTCTCCAAGGTCACATCAGCTTTCACACTGGGTAAAAGGCAGCTGCCAAGCTCACTGGTCACCTCACCCCTCCAAGCCCCTTCACCAGGTTAGAGGGTAACGGGCCAGGCCAGACCCATTATTTGTTGGCCCCAGTCGGCACTGCCACATTGTCCATGCGGCTCTCAGCTTGCTGGGGCAGCTAAGAGGCCTGGCAACCAAGCTTCATAAATGGGAAGGTACATGAAAGAAGCCATACCCCACCCCTCATGGTCCACAGCTGCAAGCACCCAAAGGGAGCAAGCTGACAAGGACTCAGCGGAAAAGTACACTCCAGGACTGGACCCCCTGGGAAACATACCACCCCCCACTCCTCCCAAATTCTGAAATCCAGCCTCTGCCCTGGAAA